ATCAATTAAAAGTTTGCTCTCAAATATTTATGACTTAAATCTTGAGAAAAATCTGATTTTTTTCTCAGATTATTAACCGCTACCCTTGCTCCGTAATTTAATTATTTTGTACCTACTTTGTGCCGAGATTCAAGAGTCAGGTCAAGATCAAATCCTTTAAAGGAAGAGACCGTCAATCCTGCATGTACAGTGCTTGGATACGTTTTCACCTCTTATATGTAAGTCAACTATCATCCTAACGTTTGTGCTTTCTGTTTTTCTCCCAAAGGTATTAAACCAGTGTCGACGTTTGACTGAAGAAATACAAATACTCCATGATTGGCACAGACTCAAAGAGGGGGAGGAGGAGGAAGACAGAAGGAAGGACAGTCAACACACCTGCTTTATGTTATGGGGGGGAGGTTGGGGAGGAGCTCTGACTGAGAGGGGGCGGGGCTTATCTTGCGCTTATGGCAGCCGTTTTATTTATTCACGCTCGACAACAATAATTAAACTCGAAATCTGTGGAGCTGCTCCTGCCATTAGCCGTTAGCTAGCTCCGCGACGTCTTCTTCCGGAAGAAGTTTTACTTCCTTTTTCACCACAATTATCTCTTTCTCTTTAATCACTCATTTGTATGTCGACTTGTATGTAAATCCTCCTTCCCATTGCCAGATCTTTTATTGTTTAACTATTAAAGATGAAATTATTGATGCTAAAATGATATATACTATATACAAAAATAATTTGATTTAAGAAAAGAAATCTGTGTGAATGAAGGCTGTTGAAGATTCAGTGACGGACACTTTTTTTCCTGTCCTATTTTTGTTGTCTGTTCTTTTCTACCTGTGATTTTGTTTTACTCTTGTGTAACATTGAGAGGGCGGGGTTTAGACCTAGTGGGCGAGGATATGGCAGGATCGCAGGGTCCAATCATATCATGACTTTTATTTGATCATTCTCATTGAGATTCACCGTTGTGTCTGTTTTTAAACATTTTTTTATGCGTGTCCGATCAGCCTGTAGTTGTCAGAACTTTTGTCTTAGTACGACTGGACGGGGTCTTCCCACCTGTCACTCAAAGCCACAGTGAAAACATCTCATTGGCTGCTTCTTTCTCGGCTTCCAGCTGCTCACACAGCGCCTGTGTCGAAGTATTTCCAGCTTGTGAGAGATAAACCTTTTCATTTAGCCTCTTCCTTTACCAAGAATGACTATACTGTATTAGAAGCATGGCAGGTTGTCAGACCATTACATACTGTATATTTAGATATTTATATTGAAACATTTTCTATCCTTTTCTCTCCCGCGCCACCTCATATCATTACTTTTGGAAAGGAATCATCATATGTCGTAAAGATAAGCAATTAAGTGTTCTGATGATAAGTGTAATAAATGTATTTAAGCCCTCACTTTGAATACTGTGACAGAAAATATTTAAAGAGAAACCAAATTAGCAGCAAGTTGCTGCCTGGCCGGTACTCAAACAGATCTTCAATCAGGTCCTCAAAGAAAAATATGTTTGTTTTTTTATCATACACACCACAACTCTTTGGTACTCACCGAAAAAGTTCAGTTTAAAAAGTAAGATCTGGGAAATATTCTCTTTTCATCCAAGAAGCACATTTACCCTTGCTGTATATCCACGTGCATTTGCCTGTAAACGGTTATTTCCCACTTTTCTTTCTTTCTTTTTTTAAGTTCTCAAAACTCGGCTTGCTAGCCTTGAAATATTTAATTTCTTCTTCCCCTCCTGAAAGACTTAGATTCTCTCCAGCTGACCTGACGGTGCAAATTAGAAAGTCCTGACAGTCATTTCAGCTGACAGCCAAGTGCACCCCGCCCGCCGCAAAACTGGCTCTGCACCTGAACCCATCAGGTCCTCTGCTAACCTGCTGAGAGACGCTGCCACCATTACTCTCACAGAGAGGGATCACATGCTTAAACACACATGCAGTAGCTCATTATCCAGGTCTTTGATCATCTTACACATTTTGAATAAGAGGAAATAGCACAAAAAGGTTTTTAATTTACCAGTTTAGCTCATTCAGACTAAGAATATGCACAATTAATAAAATGTAATTGCTGTGTAACACTGACATCTTTACAAACTATTTAACATCAACCAAAGTCAATTTTTTTAAATATTTGTATTTGCTTTTGTGCAGAGTTGAGAAAATGTATAGCGCTCATGTTACATGTTACTGTAGCCAGCAGCCACTTAGCTATGTTAACATGAAGGTTAAAAAGCAACAATGTCCGACTACAAGCGCCTCTGAAAGTTACATTTTCATCAAATAAAAATAATATAAGTGTGAGCTTTAAAGGTGCTTGTATCTAGATTTTGTTAACTTTGGACAAAGCCACGCTAGCTGTTTTCCATCATTTCCCATCTTCGGCAAAACACAATGTTGGCATACAGATATGGGTAGGATTGATCTTATTATGCAAGTCTCAACAAGAAAGTCAATAACAGTATTTCCCAAATGTCAAGCTATTCCTAATTAATTTGGCAAAAGCAAACTAACGTATACAAAATATATACATTTATAGGCGCGTAGTAACGCACGCCCCAAGATCCTACACTGTGTCACAGCAGACAACCTCATTATCACAAAGTCTGTGCATTAATGTCTCCTTGTGCAGTTGAGAATCCCTTCTTATAGTAGTGCGACCTGTGCTCTTAAACCTGTTGTCTTACTTTTCCCTTTTGTAAGTGTGAATGTGTGTTTAAGAGTATAACATCTGGAGAGAACGCTGAGGTGATTATAGAAGATGACGTGTGTGTCTTAATGTCTTTCTGTATTTGAACACATCTTTTTTTGTCGTCCACAATTGCTTTTCGTTAACAGCTGCCTCAGGATCTTAGCCTGTGCGTTATGTGGAGAAAGCATTTATTTTGTTTTGTCGTACGGGTGGGCGGAGGAAGACACCAGCATCGTATCTGTATATAAACACTACAGATATGACAACCTTTAAAAGTATAGGAAGGTAAAAGAAGAATCCACTCCTGTATTTATTGTTGTAAATCCTAATACAGTGCAAACTGGCAAATTCTCAAACATGTTTTAAGTTGTTGAATAAATTAAAAAAACAACCTATGTTTAAATATTGCAAGTGATAATGGTAGATGATGAGCAATAATTTAAAACATTCTGTAATCTTATTGAATAAAGATGTTAAAAAAACTGTAACCTCTTTGTGCACATCTCCTTGATTCGACTGGTGTCAACACATAATCACCCATATGTAGGTGTTTGTGTGTCTTTGCAGTCTGATTTCTCAGTATAGTGTTCATGTGTGTTGGGGGAGGGGGTGCAGCTGCTGAGGTCTGTCCGAGCCACAGTGATGTCATCTGAACCAGGAGCCAACACACAGGGACGTCTCTGACATCAACAGCTGGCAGTGAGCCTTTTATTTATTCTTGACACACAAATCAACACAACAAAATCAGCCCATTGTGCCCTGAAAGGGAAATGTTTATAACATATATGAAGAACATGTCAAAGATCTGTCACACCGTTGGAGTGAAAAGTGAGTTTGTATTACACTATATTAAGTATTTTGGCTCGGGACTTTATACAACGGTTTTAAAAAGCATTGTATGTTATATAAAATGTAAAAAAATTACCTAAATCTTGAGATTCTCAGATTATTACTCTACCCTTTCTCCATACTTAAATTATTGTTTATGTGCTGACATGGGTTCAAGATGGGTTTTTATCTTCAAAAGGGACTTTTACTCTACATGTGACTGTATTAACTACTTAATATAGTATACTGTATCTTAGATTATATAACAAAAATGTAAGTATGAACTCATCAAGTTCAATGTCAAATACATATAAACCTTTGCATTGTAAACAAAATAATGAAAGGTGTAATTTAATAAAATGTTTGATTTTATTTGTATGGGAATCCATGTCCAAGCTGCAGAGTTCTCAGTACAACATCATTTTAAATGTGCCATGTCAATTGTTTTGTTCGTAGTGCTCTATCAGTTTAAGTTTTAGAAATAACCCTGATGTCATCAAGGTGATTTCAGCTTTGGCTTGGAGACTATAAATGTAAAATAAGCAGCATCCTCTAACCACAGGTAAAACCATCTGACAACTTCTGGAAACACAACCTTTCTGTCTCATTGACATCTCATTGGATTGCACTTTCAAATGATTAAACTGATTCAACCAGCAACTGTGCAATCTAATCATGTCATCATAAGTGGTTCTTCACTGTCAGGGGTTTGTGTGTTGGTAGACATTTTTGCCACACAAACCCCCACCTCAACATATCAATAATTCACTTGCTACCCAAAGGGAGGGTGCGGGGCCTCCACCTCCATCTTACATTTCACATAAATAAGACAGACTGATGTTGACCCCTGACAGCAGATTGTATTGCTCAACGTTTTATTACCAAGGAGAAATCTTGTTTCATGTTGATTCAGTTTGACACAGCTGGTGGGGAGCTTCATCCATCATCCAAAACTGGTACATTGTGGTTTTTCATATTTTTCGACAGGCATCTGTAGTCCCATCTGTAGATGTAGGCTACTAAATCATCGGGTTAATGTATTAAGCTCCCAGCTAAATTGAATAAAGAAACGATGCCTTTTTTGTAGATACCTTAATTTTATGTAGCCTAAAGTCAATGACAATTGTATTAACATCAAGGTTTATTATGTGCCTTTGTGACCGTGCAATTCATGTTTTTAATTTTAGACTGTTTTCTGAAATGTTTTAGACACGTGTGTGCATTACTTACTGTCATTCTCTGTAGGCTTAGGTTTTGTGAGTTTACAAATCTTTTTTTGCTTTTGTGGAATTTACAGATTACACATTTAGACGGAATATATTTCTGTTCACTCAAATAATATTGAGACAAATCTACCTCCATACATCAAGCATTGGCTGTTTAGTGCACTGCCTCTGTGTAAACACCACCTAGTTTTACTTTCATATGATCCCCTCTGATGTTAGATCTCTAACCCCGCCTTCTCCGGGCGCCCAGGCACAGCAAACCAAACAGACAGGAGGAGGAGGAGACCCTCAACTTGAGCTCAGGAGCCGGTGCTCCAACTGTGCAGTGAGTCTCAGCTCTCCACCGGACCGGTATGCACTATCCACCGGAGAGGAAGTGATCCACGGTGACCGAGAAACATGCAGGCGGAGGACATGGAGGTACCTATCATAAATATCCTTAACGATAACGGCGACCGACAGAGGCCGAAAGGGAAAGATGTGTTCAAGGATCTGCAGAAGGAGTCGGAGGTAAATTGGAGGGGTGTTTGGGTACGGTCGGATACTACTGCATATGGTATCGGTGTGTGTGTGCGTGCGCGTGTGTGCGCGTGTTGTTGCTGGGGAGCTTTCACACGTCCTTTTCCATGCAGAGACTCGGTGTCTTGGCTGGAGAGCACGCAGACAGGCAGTCAGGCAGACAGCGAGGTGTTATTTTGGACCCGCCTCCTATAAATAACCCAGCAGTAATCCTACTGTGGAAGTCAACGTGGAGAATGCAGGTGGAGGAATGTCAGACCACACACCACCACTACCAAACATACATCTTATTATTAGAGTCATGTTGTGGGAATTAGTCCATCCATTATACTATCTGTATTCTCCATAGTTGACATTGACTTCTGTCCTTTAATTAATTGCTTTGTTGACATTTTGATAGTCTACTATAAAAGCTAATAGACAATGGTAAACATTTAGCAAGTTTTGACTTCAGAGAGGCAATATAATAGTCACTTAATGTCATTATAAAGAGGTTTGCTGGTCAAATGTAATACTTGACTTTGGGCTCTGATAAGGCGATGGACTTATATTTGAAAATTACTTGATTGTAGGTGAGTCACTATCAATAATTTTCAATATTGTTTAATCTGCAAACTATTTTCTTCATTCATCAATTGTTTGTTTTGTCTATAACAAGGGGGAAAAGGTGATGTTCTCAGATCTTTACGCGTATTATTCACATTGCTTGTTTTCTTAGACTAGCTGTCAAAAACCAGAAAATATCCACCTTAATATCGTATAAACAGAAGCAGCAAATCCTTACATTTGAGATCTTGCAACCATCAGTTGTTGGAATTTCCCGTTGGAAAAATGACCAAAACGCTCAAATTGAGATTTCCTTTTCAGTGGCTGAGTCATACCAGTTTACAAACCAACTTGATGATATTTCAACAGTGTTTCGAGCCAGCTTCTAAAAATACGTACCAGTAAATCTTCTCTGCTTCTCTAAACATGAAAGCAGCGTGGCTCAGTCTGATGATGCCTCTTTTTCCTGCAGCTATAATTCATCCCCATGTAACAAAATTAGAAGATGTTTCTTTTCATTCCTGGGTTTCTC